CTGGGAAAGGTAATTTGTGTTCCAGTTTAGCTGATTGATTCGTGTCTTAGGTCTGCTATAAGGAACTACTAGAATCTGTGACCTCAAATAACTGAAATTTATTCCCTTTCTGAAGGCTAAGTCCTAATTCAAGGTGTCAGCTGAGACTTTATCTACCGGAAGGTGCCAGAAATGAACATTCTCCAGCCTCTTCCTGGCTTTTGGTGGCCCCCAGAGGTCCTGGGCACCCTTTGGCTTGCAATGGAGTCACGTTGGCTTCTGCTCTGTGAGAAGTCTCCTTCCTTCTGTGGTGACCTCTGTCTCTGTGTGTCTTCCTCTCTTACAGACGCCAGTCACCAGACTTCAGGGCCCATCTCAGTCTGGTTTCATTTTCTCTGGGCCCAAATGTCCTGTTTCCAAGTAAGATGGCATTCTTTGCTTCTGGATTTCATTCTGGTTTTCATGAATGTCTGAGAGACCAACCTACTACTCCTGAGCAGCCTCGAGAGAAGTGGGGCATGGGCGGAAATAAACAGACTCTCCTTTCCTCTCCTCTCCTCTCCCCTCTCCTCTCCTCTCCCCTCCTCTCCTCTCCCCTCCTCTCCTCCCCTCCTCTCCTCTCCTCCCTCTCCTCTCCCCTCCTCTCCTCCCCTCCTCTCCTCTCCTCCCTCTCCTCTCCCCTCCTCTCCTCTCCCCTCCCCTCCTCTCCTCTCCTCTCCTCTCCTCTCCTCTCCTCTCCTCTCCTCTCCTCTCCTCTCCTCTCCTCTCCTCTTCTCTCCTCTCCTCTCCACTCCTCACTGGAAAGCGGGCTTCTGGGAAGGTGGACCCTAGCACAGGTGTGGCAGGCAGATTGCTGAGGGTGGAGTACATTGATTCTTGCCTACAAATTTCAGACCAGAGATGATAATAAGAGTGATAATAAAAGAAAGAATCAGCAGAAAATTAACATTAGGAAAACATAAGATATTTTAAACAACGGTCTGATCTAAATCAGTGAAGCAAAGCACCAGGTAAGAAATAAACCATGCCCTGGCTCCCAAATATTACCAACCCTACATGGCAAAACTGACTTTAATCCTTCCCATGTAGGGCAGAACACTCTTCCCACAGAGGTGGGGCAGTGTGTGGAAGCAGGAGGAGGTAGAGCTGGAATTCACAGGCAGTGACATGTTTGGTTTGTGTAGGGCCCTGTTAGGATGGGTAATGATCACACATGTCAGCCCAGGACAGCAGGAAACAGCAGAGTGAGGGTTCTGAGTCCGGGATTCAGAGCCGCAGGGTTACAGCTATTAATGCTCAGCGTTGAAGGGCGACAGGGCTCAGGCAGTTCTTAACCAAGCTGATCATCTCCTGGCTGGAGCCTCTGGAGAAATATAAAGACAGTGCAAGGCCCTTGTCCTTGGAAATAGGTCCTTCTGGAGTCAGAGGGTCCAGTGGTGCATCCGTTCTGAGACACTAGGTCACAGCAAGCTGGTAAAAATGCAGAACCAGAGATCCCTCTAGAAGAATTCACTGAGGCACAGACCATGGAGGCCAAGGTAAATCTTTACCTTTTTAAAAAAAGTTGTCTGCTGTGCCTGCCAAGGGCTACAAAGGAGCTGAGGGAAATACAAATTTTGGAAAAATAATAAATACAAGGAAAGAACCATACAATCAATGAATGTAAGGCTTTGAGAAATAGTTCTATTTTTAAAATAAACAGCCCCATTCCCATACAGAGTCTGGTGAACGTTCCTTCAGCCGCCCACCATCCAGTTCTCTTCCCTGTCCACTGGGGAACTCTGCCCCACCGGCCACCTTGCAAACAGGTGGGATCATGTGGTCACTCACGATAAATGAGTGAACATAGTTCTGCTTGTCGGTTTTGAATGGAAGGAATGAAAATCTGCTGCATGATCTTCATGCAAGCTCTTTTCCAACCATGATGACCATGGTGGCTAAATTCAGAAAATCTGAGCTGCAAGGTAGCACCAGTCAAGACCCTTGACTGGAGGACCATTTGACCCACTGTAGACACGTGGACACAAGAAATCCCTCCCTGTGTCTCTCTGTCTCTGTCTCTGTCTCTGTCTCTCTCTCTCTCTCTCTCTCTCTCTCTCTCTCTCTCTCTCTCTCTGCTTCAACTCATGAATTCACTGTGCTTGGGAATTCATTTCTTCCTGCAGCACAGGTTATCCTGCCTTAACCATCTGTGCTAATATATGCCAAGTTTTAACAGTGACAGAAGAGAACAAAGAATAAAGGAAGCCTATGGAAAAATGTATAGATTTTGTGTGGTGAATAATAAGGGAAATGAGGAAGGGAGAGGAATTCTCAAGGTCTTAAAAGAAGCAGTTTTGACATTCAGGCTAATTTCTAAAAGTAGGATGGTCGAGCAAGAATAAAACATTCCAAATTAACTGTTTGGGTTTCCAGATAATGAAATTAAGTCTCTACCATCAGATAATGCTATGCTTTACCTTTTGATCCCTGTGTTTGGTTAGGAACTCAGATCAAAATTCACACATTCAGTGACTTGCCAAGAATTTGACCTTATTGCTAGAAATCTGATCTCACTGAAACTGAGGACTATACTGAACCTCCTTTTTTCCTGAAAAATATTCTATCACTGCATACTCCATACCATTGAACTCTATTGAAAAAAGAAGGTTAAGGAGCAGCCTAGAGCGCTTGTAATTTATGATAAACTGTTTTCTTGGGAAACTGTTTTTACACTACTTCAACCAATTGCCAGTTCAGAACAACATGTTCTCCTAATTCCAGGAAGTAGTGTCATGGCTGTCAGGAATGATGTGTTGCATAATCAGTAACAGTAAATAGACTAATTCTTTGAAGCAATTCCTGCTGGAAGGTGTAGAAGACTATCCACTGGAAAGTGCCAAAGTATACCTGCCAACGGCCGAAGCCTAGCAGCAGAGTCGGAGAGATAAATAAGGAAATGTGCTGTGACTGCCTTGAAATACTGAAATATTAGCCTGGGAGGGCATTGTGCAAGCTCACAGTGAGCCCTTGTCTTACATAGCGAAGAGTTCTGGTGGAAAGAAGTTATCACGAGTAACTCCTTTTACTGCAAGGTTTTAAGAGTGTGTAAAAACTATGACAATGTGAAAGAAAAAAGAATCCTTGGCTATGCAAAATACAGTGCACGGAAGGCAGTCTGTAAATTTCGGTAATTACTGAATGCATGAATGAGGTACCGCCATCCACAAGCAACTGATCCGGAAAATCAAAAGCTGTCCATCTATGAAACTTGTTACAACTCTCTATGGTTCAAATCTTCATTTTAAAAGCTTGGATTATTCATGGGTTCAGTCTCCTGGAGGAGAAGGAGCCAGTGTCAGGTTCAGGCTTACCTGAATTAACCTAAATGACTGCCCAAAATGGACTCAGCTATGGACTCTGGTCACGCGAATGCAGTGCACCTAACCCTAAGTCTAAGCCATGGTTTAAGAAGTAGAAAGTAACCAGGTTAGCAATAGAGTTGATGTCCAAATCAGCCACCGGGTGTTCTTGTTTAGAAATAGGAGTGAAAAAACCCGTGTTAAAGCGATGGCACGGAAATTACACCAAAAGGTCGAAGTGAAGGGGAAAGACCCGAACCTAAAAATATCAGTGGAAACGACGAGCAACCACTGCTGTAAGTTCTTCACAGAGGAGATAGGCGCACCGCGCAGAGACTGCCAGCCATTCCCTCTCACACCCACCCACTCCTGTGCTTTCTTCGCAGTAACAGCCTTGACATAGCAGTTCAGGAAAAAGTGAGAACACTGCCCATCCTCCTTGGTAGGTGCTCATGGCTAAATGACTAAGTTTTAGGGAAGGTCTTGTAGGCTACTTCCAGAAAGCATGGTTTAGAATGTGCTGCGATGCACTGCACTTATGTCCCTGTAGCACTTCGGCCTTTCCTCCCACCTGGTCGTATGCAATGCACACGGCTTGGTTAGGGACCCTGCAGCCTTTCCTGGTAATCAGTTTCACTGCAGAGAAGGCAGGGTGGCAGCAAGAGGGTTACCAGGTGAGGGAGTTCTTTATAGAGACTCCATACTCACCTCCGCATGCTGGCCTTGCTTCTGTTTTATGGGGATAAACTCCATCTTGCTCAAGTCACTGCTGTTTTAAGCTGTGTCACCACTCACACGGGGTTCAGCTGTCCCAGGCGGTCACAACCATTCCTCACTTTCTTTCAAAACAAGGAGTCATTCTGAGCACAACTGAAAGGTTTTTGAGGTATACCTAAATGGAAGCTTGATAATATGGCTGATAGTATTAAGTGTTTACTGAACATTTTCATTGGATTTTGTGTCATAGTGCAAATCAGAATGGATTTGTAGTGGCTATTTTCAGTACTTGGTGGAAGTGGTGATGATTGTCTGGTGATTTTATCACAGCAAGATTTGTTCAGTGCTCAGAGTTTTCTGACAAGATGAGCCCTTTTCTGAAGGGCTCATCTTCGTCAAACGATTAAGAAAAGAAGGAGAAGGAAAAGGAAGGAGGAGGAAAAGAAGAAAAAGGAGAAGGAGAGGAAAAAAGAGGAAGAAGAGGAGAAAACTAATTTGTATAGAAATGAGGCTAGATACTAGCTGTACTGATTTTCAGGCTTGTATTTTTCCACTCTATTGCAAGGCCAGTATTTCAATAAGGATAAATCATTTTCTTGAAATGCACTTGTGTAAGAGCCCTCAGGAACAACAGGTAGTCTCTGGTGCAGGGATGAAAAATTAAGAATCTCTCTTTATAAAAATACGTGAGGTCATCTTAAAATTTTGAACTTGATTTCAAAAGATTACATCATTTATATCATCAGTCATGCTATCAATCACTCATTTTGGCATTTTAAAAAACAAATAATGCTACATAGTAATATTTAAATTTTGTTCACTCCTGTATATAGTGTCTGGACAATAATAATATACATAAATATTTGTAGAAAGAGATAAATGTAGGTTTTGTGCAGGTGTAAGGCTTATAAAATGTAGGTCATTCTTTAAGAGAAATAAAAGAGGACCCTGAAAGTGAAACTATTTACTAGCTTTAATTTTTATTTGGAATGACAATATAAATCAAAATAAAATGAATTTTTTTGAAAAAGAACAAATTGCACAGATATGATAAAAGCTAGAAAACTAATGGCTTCTTTTAACAAATTACTGCTTGTCACATGCACATGTTAAATTTCACCGCGTTATTTTGATGTGTATTCTAATTTTTCTTTTTCTGTGATTTCAGCTTTTAGTGTGACCTGCGAGAGCACAGAAATAGTCCATTCTTGTCCATAGCAAGGTGGTCCAAATTTTATTTTTTGTTGAAGGTTTTCAAGTGATTGTTTGAAATGTTTAACTTGTTGTTGGCAATAAGCTATGAAATGTTAAGGTTGTGGTTAGAGTCAGAAGGACTCTATCGGCTTATATGTAATGCATGCAGTGTTGTTGGGGGGCATTTCAAAATTTGGGGGCTGTGGTTTTGCCTCACCAGATGTCAGCACTTTATTTCCAATTGCATACATCAGTGTGACTTGTACACGACTTCTTAGTGTGTTAGGGCTTCACCTCAAAGCAGCAAGAAATTAATAAGATGCTGAGTAGATGTGGCCCGGAGATCAAGGACCAAATATGAGTTGGAGCACAGCCTGGTGACTGAAGCTGTCCAGTTGGGCGAGATGCTGTGGAGTAACAATCACCCCTGGGTGATTTGTTCAGGAAAATGTGATGGAGCCGAGTCATATCAAGCACTGCCTACATGGCTTGAAAGTTCAGTAATAACTGAAAGCCCGTTAGTGGATCACAAAGCCAGTGGCAGGTTACCACACACTGCCCAGATGATGGGAAATTGAGAAACATCTTTGCTAGCAGACACTCCATGGTCTCCCAGTCATTGGAAGATGCACAAATAAGAAAATTTCACCCTACAATGAGAAAAGAGGACCATCCTTCCCCTTTCCTGATGGACCTGAAAGATGCTCTTTCTTTACAAAGGCAGTTCTAGCTCTGCTTTATTCCTGCTGCCTGTGAAGTAAAGGACCTCAAGCCAGCTGCAGTACCCCTGGTCACTCACCACCCCGCTCTCCCTGCTGCTCTGCCGCCGGCATCCAGCCATCCTATTCTGATCCTGCCCTCTTACTGCATGCTCCTGGCCAGGGCCTGAGGTGGCTGCATGCCGGAGCTGGGGCCCTGTTGGATGTGGGGGGCACTTCCCATCCGCAATCTAGGTTTCCCTACTGGGCCAGGATTTTCTCACAGCAGCACTGCATCCAGAGGAAATCCTGACCCAGCCTCCTGCCCGTTCTCTTTTCACAGCACCAGAGCAACATGGCAGCCTGAAGACCCTCCCTGCCCATCCTCCTCCTCCTGGTCTTCACATACATCCCCATAAACCCCTGGTGTGTCTAACTACAACCTGCTGTCTGCTGGCTGGGCACAGCTGGCTCAGAAGCAAGCTGAGAGACCAGAGAGGACACAGTTTAAAAACTACATCGCTCACTGCATCACCTGACTGACAAAGACCCCACTTCCCCACATGATATGAGGTTCCCAGAAACCCCTGAAACCATGGGACAGTCCATGCACTGGTGAATCCACCAGTGAGGACCGTGATGTCCTGGTGCAGGGTGAGGGCTCATGCTATTCCGGCTGAAGAGATTTCTTAAATTATATCTTTATATCTGCCAGGAAGCCAGCTCTGTGGAGGACGTACTTAATGAGTATGTTGGCAGAATGGCTTTGTCTTCGGTCATCCAAGCATTGACACAGTGGCCCTGTAGACACGGAGCCTAGAAGGTCAGAAACAGAGGACACGCTGGCCTCCCACGCAGCTCCCCTCTTGGAAAGCACTTATCCAGATGCTGCCTCCCCCGGCAAAGCTCAGACTTGCTGGTGACAGAGGAGGACCAGGGCCCTCAGTATAGTGATGCTTCTCAGGGAGGCCATATGACAGGAAATGCTTTCTAACCAGCAGCCTTCTGAACGTAAATTTTGTCTCATCACAGCAGCTGTTCGTGAAACTGTCATGGCTTTGCACACGGACCAGCCTAGAAATAGTGTGATAAAGACTGGAGCACAGACTCCACCGTATTAGGAGCTGGGTCTCCATTCCTCTCTTGTGTGCTTCTGCGTGGGATTCTCCATCTCTGCAAGGAGCCTGGCACACAGAATCAAACAGTGAACAAGTCAACCAACCAACAAACCAGACACAAAACTGTACCCCACTAACTATTCGTCTTTCAGTGATACTGGTAGAGTTTGGTTAGTGGGGTTTAAGAATTACTGAGATTTCACAAACTCTACCATGGTTTCAAACTTTGCTGGTGAATACCCTAAGAGATTTCTCTAGAACTTGTTTGTTTATAGGCAGCAGTGATGAAGAGTCCTATGATAGATTGCAGCAAAGCCAGACTAAAGTAAATGTGTGTGCTTTCCCCAGATGGACGCCTGACTTCTGTAGCAGCATTGGCCGCTGCCTGCCATTCGGAAACGAAGGAGTGGGTGTGGCAGGAGTGAGCAGCATTAAAGAGGAGGGTACTATGGTCTGCAGTGAGGTAGCTAAGGTTTGTCTGGTTCACGAAGGCTTATTGCCGGCTGAATGCATAGTTAAGGCTCCTTCCGAGACCTGCAGGACTGAGCCTCACCATCCTCAATGTAAACTGCTTTCTGGATAAAGGAATGGATAATTATATCCAGCATAAAACCACTCTCCTTCAATAAAAGCTGACTCCATGGCTCCCAAAGTGTTTAGGCTTTCAGATGCTTAGATGCAAAGAGCAGCTTAGCTTTGAACCTAGGGAATTTTGGGGTGTATGGGGGGCGGGGCTTGGTAATCGCCTCACTGTGTTAGGTAGCTTTGTGTTTTAGTAGCAAATGGCCAAGATAGATTTGATAGATTTACTCGCCAGGAGAAAACCTGTTCTGACTCACGTTTGGAGGTTTCATCTGTGTGCAAGGCATCCAGGGCTTCAGTATCCCCATGATGGGGACATGAGGCAGAGGGAGCCCACTCCCCTTATCAGCCCAGAAGCAGAGTGGACAGCAGAGGGTGAGGACAGCGTCCCATAACTCCTTGCAAGGATGAGTCCCCAGTGACCTCTGACCTCTGCCGAGCTCTGCCTTCTAAAGGTTCCCTCTCCTCTGAGTAGCACCACAGGCTGGGGTCCAAGGATCCAGGCTCTCCCAGACTCTCAGGGTGTCTTTGTCTTGGAAACTTAGAGAACATTGTCTTGGAACCTGAGAAGAGAGAAGTCCGAAGAGTAGTTTTAGGACCACATTATGTGTGGTCACTTCTTCATAAGACTTGAGTATCATTTAAAAACTCTGGAATTTGATGCATTTTACTTATTTCCTTATTAAAATATGTCTTTTTCTTTTTTTTAAAGAAATCATGCAACATCTTTGCTTTTATGTTAGAATGTTAAATATGCAGGTTTTGAATTCTACCAATATACACAAGTAAGACTGGTGGCCTATTCACTTTTAATATTAGTCTTTCCTGGAATTAAGTATGCAGTGAAAGCATGCTCTGAGACACCTTCACGTGCCTGCCATAGAAACAGTAGAATTTTCACTTAAAAATAAAGAAATTTTTGAAGAGAACAATTGTAATGACTGTGACATTAAGAGGTTTGCATGATTTAATTTCCAAAATAGAAGGAGAATCCCACTACTGGACAGGTACGTTTTTCAAGATAAAGAGCTACAGTTACAGAAGAATCAACATAAACACTCATACATGATGTAAAATTCAGAATGTCTGGCCGTCACACAATGGGTAGCACCATATTCCAGAGTCAACGTGCACACCTTCCTGTTAGAAAGCACAAGGGTGGTTCGACTTCCTTGGGTTACACGTCAGAGTGTGTGTGCGAAGACCAGGGACAATTCCAGCAACCTGCGCGTGCATTTGTCCTTTAAATCTCATGAGGACAGTAAGAGCTCTGGAGAATATCACCACCATTCTACCAACAAGGGCTCAACACGGATTCCTCCTACACACTCGAGCAACACAGCTCTCAGGCCATGCAGTGCATGCAAAGCTGGCCTGATTCCGGACCAGGGTCACCTACATGTCACGGGGGAGAAGACACCAGACCAGAAGCAAAGTCTCCTGCTTTCAGAGCTCTGTGTGCCGGTCCACGGCTCCCCCACTCACTGCCCAAGCAAAATGAATGTGTGCTACACCCATTTTTGTCACAAATTAAGTGAAGCAAGGCAGATTATGAAAGTCCTCACACTAATTAGTCTTTTCCTTACAAATCTTAGTACTATCTGTTGAAATAGACTGTGTGGAAGTAGACTTTGCTTGAGTGTGACGTTTTGCTATTACTAGCGGTGCGAACCACAGGGAGACACTGTTGGTCATTTTTAAATGTAGGGGTAGTGGCTTAGTTTATAAGTATCATTTACATTAATGTGTGTGAAGATGTCTAGTGTACATAAAATAAAGGCTTAACATACACTAACTCTTTCATAGAACATCGGCTAACACCTCTTTCCTAGGATACTACAGCATGGCGTCTTTGTTTACATCACTATTTATATTTCCTTAAACAGTCAATCTGCCTGAATATTGATATGTTGAATCACCTTGTTGAGGTGAGGAGGGAAGTGATGTTTAATATAAATAACTGCAAAAATTGGAAATGCATTAATACAGATTTTCTCATACGATGAACAGAGAAATTTGTAGAATTTCTTCTTTTAGAAACTACCTGGGCATAGCGGCACATGGCTGTAATCCCAGCACTCTGGAAGCTGAGACAGGAGACAGCTGTGAGTTTGAGACCAACCTGGGCTTCATAGTCAGTTTGAGGCCAGCCCGAGCTATGTGGTAAGACCCTGCCACAATCGCCACCACCCAAAAAGTAACTTGATTGGCAGATTTTTTCTGTATCTTAACTCAAAACCTCAGGGTCTGGGGTTAAAACTCAGTGGTACAGAACCTTCTGGCTGCAAGGTCATGAGTTTGATTCCTAGTACAAAAAAGAATTTAATTTAAAACCTACTACATTTTTGCACTGTTCCTCCAAAACCGTAAGTACAACATATGACTTCTCAGTGGTTATTGTGCTTGTGAAATAAAACTACCCTTCCACAAAATAACCCAACATGGAAAGCTTTCTTTTGGGTTTTTATAATAACATGAATGAGGATATAAACATTTTGTACCACTGTTCTAAGCAAAAATTTTAACATAAAAATGATACAATTTTAATTGAAAGTCTATAATTTTTAAGAGTTTCAGATTTTAAAAGGCTGTTTTCTGTTTTAGAACAATGTATCATCCAAATCACTACATATAGAACATATATATCACTAATATAGAACAAAACATTAGTATGTACCAACATAAATAATTACTCACTGACATTTTCTATGAGACATATTTACACTGAAAAGTCCCAATAAATTTGGTTGAACAAATTAAAAACAAGCCTATTTTTATGGACCACACAAACCATAATTTCATAGCAGTATCATTTATTTTAATAGAATTATGAAGAAATCTAATAAAATTTATAATAAAAACAGCATAGGAGCACAAAGCCATATAACAAATTGCTCAACAGCTATTAATCAAAAGAATAATGTAAGGTTGCTCAAGTAAAGAAATAATAGAGTGAAAATTTGTTTTTTATTGGTAAACAAAATAATATCTTGATATCAAGGGAGTCTGCCTGTAATTTTAATTTATTACCAATTTCAAAATAAATGAGTGAGCAAAAAGTATTACCAACAAACACATAAAACCTCATTAACCTTGCCACTTGGTTGTATAAATTGAGAAGAGAAATGGTCACTTCTCAGTGGGTGGGAAGGAGCGAGCCTTTGGTGTGGGAACACTGTCTCTGGGTCACGTATCTGAGGCTTTTGTAAGAAGAGACCCCGCAGCCATTGTGTGGGTCATATTGTCACAGATACTGTGAGCCCCGAGGCTTGGAGACCGGGCATCTCACCCTGGTGCAGAAGCGGGGTCGCTTGCTGTCTGCTGCCTTAAGAAAGATAACATCCTCCTGAGCACAGAACCCATTTGCCCTTTTGCTTTGAATCTCGCTCATAAAACATTAGAGTGTATGAGGTTCCCGTAAAACAAGCCACATGTGAGCCTGCGTGTCTTCTGCCTGTCACCTCGCCCTGTGGAAACTGAGGCCTACAAAACTATGTACAAAAATGAGCAGGGTGGGGTGGGGTGGGGAGAAAGCATTTCCTGAGTTCGGCTCATTCCGTTAACATGATGCTCTCCAGTGCAGTCCATTTTCCTACAAAAAACAAGATCTGGTTCTACACTATGGCTGAGTCGCAGTTCTGGGCAAACGCACACCTCACATTTCCTAACCCCTGCAGGGGCCGGGCTGGTGCTTCACCTCGGTCACTGTGCCTTGGCCTGCGATCAGCACGCGAGGGCAGATGTCCCCACAGTGCCCGGCCTTAGGTCTTCTGGGATACCCTGCAGGGCTGTGGCTCAGCGGGGTCCTAGGGAGGCTCCACTTTTAGTTTTTTTGAGGGAACTCCTTGCTGATTTGCCTTGTTATGGTGCAGAAGAGTTCCTTTTCTCCGTGCATCATCACTGGCATGTGTTATTCTCTGTATTCATGGTGACGGCCCTTCTGACGGGGTTAGGAGGGACTCTCAGTGTGATCTTGGCTCGCAGTTCTGTCATAGCTAAATTAGTCGGACACCTTTTTATGTATTTACTGACTATTTGCATCTTTGCATTTGCCTGTTTATTGATTGGGCTGCTGGTGTGGCGCTGTTAAGGGATGGAGTTCTGTATCTGTTCTGGATCTTGGTTCTCTGTGAGGAGAGCAGCTGCAGAGGGTTGTTTCCCCATTCTGTCAGCTGTCTCTTTACCTTGGTGCTTCTTTTACTGCACAGCAGGCTTCCAGCTTGATGCAGTCCCATTTGAGATTCTTGTTGTCACTGCTTGTGCTGGTGGAGTGCGTGTGACTTCAGACATTCCTGTCTCTTCTTCTGTGCTTTATTCTCTCGCAACTTCAAAGTGTTTCATCTTACACTTTGTTCTCTGATCTATTGTCAAGTGACTTTTGTACAGGGTGAGAGACAGGTCTAATGTACATCTTCTGATCATCTTGTTAACCCAGCACCACCATATATTTTTGGCCTATTTTCCACCAATAAGTTTCTGCATCCTATATCTATTGTATTGTGTTGTATTCTATCACACTTGATCACATTGTGTCCTATTGTATCACAGCATATCTTCTATTCTGTTCATCCAGGTGTCCATTTTCATGCTGATGCCATACTGTTTTCTTTACTATGGCTTTATAATATATTTTAAAATTGAGTGTTGTGATATCTTCAGCTTTGTTATTTTTGCTCAGCATTGCTTAAGTTATTCCTAAGTTAGTGCTTCAGTTATTCATTTTTATACTAGAATTTTAGGAATTTTTTTCATTCTATGAAGAACATCATTATTATTTTGATGGGAATTGTATTGCATTACAGAATGTTTTTATTTCAGGCAATTTCTTTTTCTATCAGAAACAACTACAAGGCTATAAGATAACATGTCTTGTAACAATAATAGTCATGGAAATCATTAAATCATAATAAACCATCTTATAAATGACTTATAATTGATAACACTGATATTCTAATCATTATGTATTCATTAATTTTCCCTAGGTAAACATTGTAAATATATAAAATCTGTGATTAAAGATTTCCATAAAATTTACAGAACATATTCTACATACATGTAATTTTTTTTAACTTGGATACATGAAACAAAAATGTCACAAAATCTAAATTTAATCTAAATTTAAATACATAATATTTTATGGCTTCTTCTCTTCCTTCACCCCTTCAAAGAGGACAAGGAAGAGACCCAGGCTTTGTTTTCTGGGTAGCACATAACTTTGTGGTCAAGAGAGAAAAACCAGGTAGCACAGTCACGTGTGGAGGCAGGCGGGAGACAGAGTCAGGCCAGGGCTTTGATGGGGAATGATTTCAGGAAGCACTGCTCCCCGCAGGAACTGAGATATGCTGAATCTCCTTTGAATGGAGTGAGGAGTGCTGGGTCCCTAACTGACACCAAGGGAGGCCCTTGTAGGTGTGCACTGTGGTAACAGGAGGCAAGAGAGGGGGGCAGTGCAGGCCTCGGGCGGGGCGTGAGTCCCAGATGTGACTTGACACACTCCTGCTCCTTCCTGTGTGTGTTCAGGAACCATGGTGTGCAGAGAGCTAAAAATTATGTTCCCA